ATACTGCTATTGGCTGCAGTAACTGTAAAACATAACCTGATTGTGGGCTTGTTAAAATATGAAATTGTGTGTATCTGTACTAATAAAATATAGTTTACAAAGTCTTAAAAGCCTCATGCTATTTAATCCAGCAATTCTCCCTTCTGGGTATTTTATCCTAGGGCAGAGATTTTCAACCGGTGTGCAGCAAGAGGCACACTGGTGTGCTACAAGAGTTTTTGAAACGTGCAATACTTGACTGTTTAGTCAGGCGCACTGACCTCTTTTCCCTTAGATTGTCAAATAAAAAAATGACAACATCCAACACAATAGCTGTCTGGTGTGAATGAATGAAAACTATACCTATTTTTTTGTCAGATTGGCAAAAAATGTATTTTTTGGTGTGCCACAGAATTTTAGTAATTAGTTTATGTGTGCCATGAGATGAAAAAGGTTGAAAATTGCTGTCCTAATGGTACAATTGTTCTATTATGGCAGAAGATATATACAAAATAGCCTTTGCAGTGTTTTTAATTTTTGGTAGTATATTTGATAACTTATATGAAAAAGTATAAAATAAATGATAGGATATGTGGGATATCAATTAATGAAATGATCTTGCATTGTAATGATAAACATGATATTGCCACAAAAATTCAAAATTAAGTAAAAAGATCTAATATAAAATGCTTTTTATGGTATAATTTTTAAAGTAATAGTCTGGCCCGGCCGGCCGTGGCTCAGCGGTTGAGAGTTGACCTAGGATCCAGGCGATCGGGGTTTCATTCCCGGTCAGGGCACATGCCCAGGTTGTGGGCTTGATCAATGACTCTCTCCTCATTGATGTGTCTATCTCTCTCTCTCCCTCTCCTTTCCTCTCTCTGAAATCAATAAAGATATATATATATATATAAATATATAAATCCCTTTAAAAAAATTAATAGTCTGAAAATAACAGAATAGTTATACATGAAACTATTCTAGGAATTAAGGATGATTTAATTTTTATTTTTTCTGAATTAAAAAAAACTTGGTAATTTTTATTTAGTAAAACAATTATAAAAGAAAAAATCACATTGACAACCTTTAAAGACTGACACTCTTTTTTTGTTTACTTTTTGTTTATTTTTCTTTAATTGCTGACTAATTTGATTTCTTTTGTGAATATCATTTTTTTATTTAACTTTACATTGCTAAATTTGCTGAATATGATCTTGTCTATGTGGTTTATTTAAAAACCTAAAACTAGATTCCACATTTATTTTTATTCCCTTGTATTTTATATTTTTAACATGCACATATAAATATGTAAATTATAAATAAATATATAATATCTTTAAATATACACATATTTAATATGAGTATATAAATTATATATACGTATATAATGATTAAAATATAGGATATAAACATATAGTAATACAAATAAATAATATAATTAATAATACAAGGATAAATTGTTTTGTGTACTCACAACTGTAAACTTACTTTTGCTAACCCACACATACATATATCTTTTTTCCCTGAATTATTTTAGTATAAGATGCATACATCCTTCTTCTTGAGTTGAAGTACTCTTGTGTGTATGTCCTAAGAATAAGGATATTGTCCTATATAACCACAGTACAACTATGGAAAATAACAAATTCATTATTAACAAAATGCCATTATATAACTCATAGTGCATCTAGGATCACACATGCATTTGATTGTCATGTCTTTAAACTTCCTTTAATCTGGAACAGTTCCTCAGTCTTTAATGACTTTGAATTTGAAGAGGTCAAGCCACATATTTTCAGACTTTCCTCATTAAATTCAGGCCTGATAACATCCAGACTCCTCAGTTTGAGTTTGCCTAAAATTTCCTAATGATTGATCCAGGTTACCCATTTTTGGCAACTGTACCACAGCAGTGATGTTGTGTCCTTCACAAGTGCGTCATAATTGGAGGCACATCATGTGTGTTTGTCCTGTTATGAATAATGTTGTCTTTGATCATTTAGTGAAGGTGGTCTCTGCCACGTTCCTTCATCGAAAGTTTCTATTTTTCTCTTTGTAATTAGTAAGTGATTCGTGGGAAGATACTTTAAGACTATGGAGATATCTCATTTGTCATCATTCTTTCACCCACAAGTGCTGATTCACAGGTGTTTTCTTGACTGAATCAGTTAACTATAATGTTTGTCTAGTGGTGATGTTCTAACTCCATCAACACATCTATAGTTTAAGTGGCATTCTATGAAAAATAATTTTCCATTATATACTTTATTTTTTAATTTCTATTTTATCATCTGTAATAAATTATAATTATGATTGTTAATTATTTTGATTTTCCAATTGTCCCAAATTTGACTGGTGAGAGCTTTTGAAGTTAGAGCCTATGTCCTTTGGACATATTCCCTTTGTTTATAAATGCCTGACTTCTCCCGCAGAAAAAATGTTGTCACCTTGAATTCCGTATTTTTAAGTCCCCTTCCTATGTCCATGTTCTAATATTCCAGGAAAGTTTTTCAGTATTTTAATAGTTTCAGTGGATTTTCTGAGAGTAAGTTTTGTGTCACTATTAGAGAACCTTTGTTTTCCTTCTCATAGTTTTTCTGGACCTCTTAGATCTCTGCAGTACATATAGTGGAGCTTGAAAGATAGCTCTGTTGGAAATTGGTGTTTAATTTTCTGTTTACAAGCAATTTAACATTTTTATTATTCTCCAACTTTCAGTTATGCTGGAGATCTAGGATTTGTGTGGGGTTTTTCTGTTTGTTTATTTTTGGGGGGCTGTATATATTTTGCTCAATTTGTGAAATGTTTCAGATTTATGTGGCCACTATTACCACTACTCAGAATTCCATGTCCGTATTTTTAAAACATTCTACAAAATGTATTGTTATTTCAAGTTATTCACAATATGCCATGATGCAACTGGAATGTGTGGATTGAATGCCTTACCTTGAGTGGTCAGTGTTCTCTTACTCCAGTTTATTTAGTTAAATTGAAGGGTTTTTTCCCCTCTATTATTATTTTATCAAATGGCACATTTATCAATGTCTCTGAAAGATGTGTCTATGGTAAAATCATTATTGGAGATACTTTTCTTGATTTGTACCAATCGTTTTTGTGAATTTCTCCATTACTCTAAAAATTATCAAATATATATTTAGACAAATGGAAATTCAAACCCATGAAGTTTTAAAACATGTATATAGATTAAATCAATAACATCTGATTATATGAATCAGTGAAATGTAGTTATAAGCAGTTGCCTCAACTAATGAAATTAGCTTTTTGAGCATAATTGAGGATAATGTTTCTTCCAGTTTCACAGCAAAGAGGTCTGATTGTAGTTGGTACAGAGGGATCAGAGTCAAAACACTCCAGTGTTTGGAAATGGCAGAGTAGAAGACAGCTTGCAAAAGTGGGAAATAGCTGAGGGCAGAAAGTATGTCTTGTCCACGAGGGACAAACATTTCTGTGTTCCCGAGGCTGTGAGCCCAGCCTAACAAAATCTTTGCTCTCTTAAAAAAGCTAGAAATGAGGATTCTTAGGAGGAATCTTCCACTCTTGAATATTTTAAAAATACCTTTGAATCCATGGTGTGGAATAAACCAGGTCAGTAAGCCAGATTTGGTGCAACGGAGGAACTAATGGGTGGTAGTGAGAAGTAATTGGGTCGGAAAGGCTGGTTCTGAGCCCAGGATCACCTCATATTAGTTGTGTCAAATTGGGGAAGTCACTTGATCAGTGTTAACTTTAGTTCTCTTGCCTACGAGAATGAATATGCTCAGGTATGAAGAAATGGCGATCTGCTAATTGTTACAACTTTATAATTCTATTCAAATTATATATGAACATGAATTTGCATCTGTGATTAAGCTTTGCATTTTAAACTTAGAAAAATGAAATTTAAAAAATACAGTTTGCTTTTTTTTAATTTATAAATTTCTTGATTTCCTTTGACATTTCACTATAAACTTGCTAACTATATCTATAGTTTCCTCTTGTTTGAAAGGCTCTGTGTTGATCATTAGTAAAATCATTCATTCCTGTGCCAGGTAGAGGTCTTTGCCATCCTGTGTTTTTTACACATTCCAGGAAAATAAATTAGACACTCAACTCAAAACTTGTTCTGTTTGTTGAGCTGTTGATTTGATTACACCTGGTTTTGGTGAACACAAAAGCACACCTTCTGTATTAATAAACTGGCATTTCTGCTTAGTACTATAAAGAACCAAATTTCTCTGGGCAGAAATTCTGTTGGTTGCTGAGAACTAATGTTACTCTAAATTATGCTGCATAGAGGAATTTTATTTGTATTGTCCATAGTGTGTTTGATCTATCTGAAATAACACATTATACTTTAATGGGGAATTTTAATTATCATTAGGTTGTCTCTTATTTTGTTTCTTCTGAACAGTTCTTTTCTAAAACAAGATACCCCAAAACATAAAATCCATTTAGGTTGAAATACATTGAGCTTTGAAATGAATGTGCTCTTCCCAACACTCCTCCTTTTAAAAAAACTAATTAATAACATCTGATCAAATAACTTTATCCTTATAATTACATTGACTTTCTGAAAGAAGAAAATAGATGTTTATGTGTTTTTGTGAGGCATGCTAGTGGCATTCCTGCATTTTTCTCAGTGCGTGGTCTTCAATTAAGATTGACATGCAATTACAAAGTGAGTTGGTGCAATTTTCTGGGTAAATCAAGCAAAATTTTCTTCTACATCAGAGATCTTCATATATCACACAAAAGTGCATTTTAAAAACTTGAATTATTTTAATAACCATCTCAAGTCTCCAATTAAATTTACCTACAGACATCTCATGTTTTGAATTGCTTTGTATTAATTGCCATGTTCGGGGGGGGCATTGTGTTTCTTGTATATAATTTTAAAGCCAATGTGCAGACTCTTATCTCTTACTTGAGAGTGCCTCCCTTGACATGTTTAGAACAGTTGGGAATATTTCTATTCATCAGCCCATTATGTTTTGCAAGATGTATAATTATATCTTGCAAAGTCTCATTTCAGCATGTTAAGTATGCAGTGTCTCAGTGTGTGTTGGTCTGGATTAGTATTTCTGTGACCTTGGCAAATTGCTTACTCTTTTGGATTTTTTTTCTTTTCACAGATGCATTTTGTAGGAGTATTTTGAGGATGAATGTTTGCAAATCATTTTGAAATTGCCAAGTGCCACATACAGTAAGTAATATGTATTTCTATTTTTCCACTCAATTGCAGTCATGCTGAATGAATTTGGCAGACTGTCATAAAAGAACACATTTCTATTTACAGTTCTTGATATTTGTGAATATTGAAGAAAACTGTATATAAAAGATAAAATCTTGATGAGCTGTTTGCTAGTAGGAATTAGGTTGTATAATTTCAAGATTTCTAGTGACTGATTTTTACTATTGTTCTATGTACATAACTTACACAATATTTCTCACTTATTATTTAAGATATTTTTCCTCTGAATCGTAAGTTGAGAAGAGTGAAGAAAAATATTAGTGTTATTTTAGCCAGTGTTGATAAGGAAGTTTTAAAAAGGAGTATTGAATTAAGTATTAAGATTTGCTGAGTATTAAGATTTGCTAAGTATTGCCCGGCCGGGCATGGCTCAGCGGTTGAGCGTTGACCTAGGATCCAGGGGATCGGGGTTTGATTCCTGGTCAGGGCACATGACCAGGTTGTGGGCTCGATTAGTGACTCATCATTGATGTTTCTCTCTCTCTCTATCCCTCTCTTTTCCTCTCTCTGAAATCAATAAAGAAATATTAAAAAAAAAAAAAAAGATTTGCTAAGTATTAAGATTTGCTCCATATCCGGTAATTTATATGTAGTGCTTTTAATTCTTACCCAGATGTTTTAAGTTTATTATTTTTATTTCTACTTTTAAATAAAAAAATTGAAACTCAAGAAGTTTTAATACCTTGCTCAATATCTATTCAAATTGATGAATCTGTGTATTGAACACAAGACTTTTTAAAAAAAAATTGCCTCCAGCAATAACAGAAAAAGCTAACCAACTTTTATTTAAGAGCCTGAGTATTTTTAAGAGTTTAAATGTGTTCTGATTATTTCTTTGGGTTTTTGTTTGCTTAAGCATTATCCTGAAAATGCTTCAGGTTTTTTTCTGTTTGTCTATCATGTCATTGCTTTCATTTGAAATGATGCTTTCAATCCTTACTTGAACTGCTTTGGACTAGTAGGAAATAAGTGAAATATAACTTCCTTAAAGGAAGATTATAAATTACCTAAATTATTTTTTATAAAAAGTGTTTAGAATTAGAGGTTTGAAGTTCTCAAAAGGTCTTCTAGAGTCTTCTTTCATTCATTAAGTACAAGTACACAATTAAATGCTACTATATTATTATTGTAGAGCTAGAAGGGACCATAAAATCATAGATTCCTGGCCTCCACAAAACTCCCTTGTTTGATGAAATGCAATCATCTGGAGGAGAATTCTAAAATAGAATTTCCACAAAAGGTAGACTCATGATGGCAGCATTGATGTTTATACATTGTCTTCAAATACAACTACTTCAAAAAATAAAGGCAGCATAGTGTAGTGGGTTAGGATTCAGACCACATGGCTTTAAATCCTGGACTTATTACTTACTACTTGTATGACTTTGAATAAATCACTTAATGTTTTTTAAAATGGATACAGGATTAGGAACTACCTCATTTGTGGCAAGCCAGGTAATGCATGTAATTATAGCACAGTTCCAGGTTCAGCGTAAATGCTCAAAAAATGTTAGTGGTTATTAAATTGGAATTGATTTATTTAGATATTTTAATTAAGGATGTTTGTTAATAAGCATCATAGCTTCATAATCATGTTATATAAAGTACACAACAAAGGTATTCAGTGAACACTGCTGATTGACATGCTCAAAATAAACTAAACTTCAGCCTTCTTTATAAACAGAGCAAGGTACTTTTTATTAGAAACCTTTACTTCTTTCAACTATTAGTGATGAAATAAACCATTTTGCCAAACATTAGGCATATAGTAAACCATGTATAAAATTAGCATACATATATTTCCTATTGTGTGCTGACTAGAGACCTAGGTTGAAAGTGTTTATATGCTTTTTGGAGAAAAGAAGGGCAGCTGTGAGGTGCTTAGGGAGTCCAAAATGTTTTTTTGAAGGAGACAGGGCAAAATTTTAAATACAAAGTAAAGGAATTAATGAAATGATTGTCAAATAATTTGGGGCAATAATCTCATCCAATGTTTTATTAAACAATTTATGGAAATTGAGAAATGTGGAGAAGAAAATATTTATTAAACATTTATTCTATACCATGCATTTACATTCAATATCTCAGTTCATCTAAGCAATAACCTCATGAAATAGGTATGTTATCTCCATTTTTCATAGGAGAAAAATGTAGCAGAGAAAGTTTAAATCCATCATTCATGGAGATGAAGCTTGAGGCCCATCTAATTCCAAAGCTACTTTGCTTATCCTCTCGCCCTGGCAGTTAAGCACTGAAATTCTGTGGCTAATCTGACTTTCTTTTATTTGCATAAAAACACTGCTCCCAAACCTCAGGTCTCACGTATGAGTTCTTTAGTAAATAAATAGTTGATGATTTATTTTCAACTAAAACAAATGACAGTTGCCTATATTAAGTGTTGATAGGACCACTCAGCAATCCAAAACTAACTGCCTAGTTGTCTTGAATGCTGTTTGAGTTAAGAAAATTTAAAAAAATAAAAAATCTCCTTCCCCAATGTCAGAGACCATATCTTATGCTTTTCTTAGTCTTACTTTTCAGAATTTGAAGTGACTGACCACACCCTTTTCTTGCAGTCCCCCAGCCACTGTATGCGATGCAGAAAAGTTTGTAGAGTTCCCCTGGACTTACTCTTTCCCCTCCGTGTTTACCACCTGCAGCTGTGCCGCTTTCAGGGGCATCCTGGACAACACTCTGGACACACTGATTCTTTCCCTTTTCGACTCTTTGGTAATCTTCATTTTCTTCCATTTCAGTCGTCCACTGATCCCAGTCCCTTCAAACACCACTGCTTGAAACAAATCATGGGCAACATTTTACCTGAAGGATAAACTTACTGTACACTATCATTGCTCTAAAAATGAAGGGGTCAAAGTCCTTTGCATTCTCACACTACTCTTTGTTTTAAGACTGAAAGACTTATAGAGTGCTTTTACTTTTCATTTTAAGATTTGGTCTCTGAAACACAAAGCTAGTGATTACATTTAGTAATTCTATTTCATTTAATTCAATAAATATTTACCACATGCTCCTATAATACATGAGGTGCTTTCCTACTAAGTGCTAGAGCAAGTGGAAGGGAAAGACAAAAATGACAAGAAAATTCTGTCTTTGATTTGAGGAAATAAAATATCCCCAGGCATAAATAAAACAAAGATATGTTATTAGGTTATAGTATCACAAGAATAGTCTAAACTAATCAAATTAATAAAGCTATTTCAAATAATTTGAAAAGGTAATATATGTGAAATAATAAAGCATTAGAGGAGATTCAGTAAAGGAGATATAATTCTAAACTGCACTGGTTCAAGATTTCATCATGGAGGTTGCATTTGCACTCGATCTTGATGCAGGTGGAAATGTTAACAGAGAAGCCAAGGGAAGGGCATCCCCAAGTTAGAGGTAAAGAGGCATACTTCACATTCATTGAATGGTAAATTATTTTGTTTGGCAACAAAATTAGTTCTTGTTGGACTAAAACCAGATACCACTGGAAAATAAGACTGGAGCTAAGTTATAGGAAACACTGACAATTAGAGAAAGAAATTTGAATTTAAATTTAATTGGTAAGCTATTAAAAAAGCAGAGTATTTTGCAAAGGCCAATTCTGTGAACAAAAGATTTCTTATTTGACTTCTTTTCGGGAGTTCTCTACATGATGGATTCCAGCTGGCAGACTTGTGGACAACAATAATTTTAGGAAAAATATAGCAATATAGGCATGAATGGATGAGGTAAGACATGAGGTTATAGCAGTGGGAATGGAGAGGAAGGAATAGATGCACTTGAGATTTAAAAAAAAAATAAGGTCAAAGAATAATAACAATGTATTTATTATTTAATTTAACCGTCAAACAATTCTGAGAGGTAGGCACTAATTTTATGCTCATTTGCATGAGAGAAAACTAAGGCAGCCTTTAGCTAAGTAGATTGTCCCAGGTCAAATGACTAGAAAATAGTAAGGCCAATATTTAAGTCCAGTCAATTGAGATCCAGAATCTCTCTGTAGCTAACCACTGTATATCATTTTTCTAAAAAAATAATTGAGATTTTCAGCTTGACTGAACTGGAAAATGATGTTACCAATGGGCAGAGAAACAGACACCCCCCCCCCCCC